AATAATACAAAATATTATAAATATAAAATATAAAAAATTTTTATATTTACATGTTAGAGTAAAACTCGATAGTCATTTCTTGAGCTTTGCAATTTGCATTCTTATTACATAAATCAGTTATATTAACTCATCCTTAACTTCTAGCGAATTATCTTAACATTATGAATTTATAGCTTAAGATAAATATATTTGCATCATTATTATATATAGACATAGAATTGCAGTCTATATTAATATAAGTTACACTGTTAACATCATAAAATTCTATATATAGTTTTTAGCAGGTTTATCTTTTAAAAAATATAAATATAACAACATAGACAGCACACTGTTATCTGAAAGACCTCTTTATGTTCTCTCCTCTTTATCACATTTTTAGATGTGCATGTTGTCTGAGAATAAAATAAATTTAAATAAATTAACATTTGTTTAATTTATTTTATAAAATTTATTTATAAAATTTGCATTACCTACAATGTTATAGTTAATTGTATTTTATTTATGTCTCCAACAGATACAAAAAAAATTATTAATTCGCCTAATACAAAAAAAATACAACGGATCAAGATTACTAAATTCTATAAATTTTTTTAAATGTACAAATTTGTAAAATTTATCAGCAATGCTTACAAAATTAATGATTTATTTGTTGAAAGATTATTAAATTGATTATATATAGTAATTAATTTTTTAAATTTTCTAGGTGTATGATTTCTTTTCATTTTTTTCGTACACTTTGTACATTTTGATATTAATTTCTTTATATATTCATAAATTTCAGTTTCACTTCCAAATGTTAATAGATATTATAACTCCTACTATGAAATATTATTCGATGTAATAAAAAAATATTACAAATTAAATTATTATATTTAATTCTTTAAAAAGAAAGTAAAATAAGTCGATTATAGTATCATATCCGAGATATCTACATTTTTATATTTATTTACATTTTTAACTTTTGTTTATACTCAATTTATATATGTAGATCAAGAATTACGTTTGTTATGCATTCCATTATGTAATGCGATAATACGTACAATTGCGGTAAAGCAGTTTTTCAAGTTATCTATATGTACATCGTTTTATTCAACGAAGAAAGTGCCTCTGTGGAACATATGTGCGCAATCCACAAGACTCATGTAAACTTGCAGATAATCGTTGCGTCACGTATCGCATTAGAATTTGTATTAGTTTTAGCATGATGATTTACTCAGTAAACAGCTGATCTGTCGGAAACTCGCATAGGTAAATTAAGATGACATAAAGTTTATTTTTGAATAGATTATAATCTTAAATGTTAAACAACATTAAAGTCCCCCACGTGTAAAGTCTCGCAAGTATATATTCCATTCTAAGTATATATTTTTATTAAGATTGATAAACTAAAATAATTAAAGTAAAAGAAAATAAAAAAAAGAAAAAGAGCAAAGGAAAGAGAGAGAGAAAGAGAGAGAGAGAGAGAGAGAGAGAGAGAGAGAGAGAGAGAGAGAGAGAGAGAATAAAATATCACGGAAACGAATTATTTGATAATTATTTTTATTTAAATTAACACAAAAGTTTAGAAAGGTATAGTAATACAACGCGACAGAAAATTAAATTATAAAATATTCCAAGATTAAATGCTATTTTTCGCCTAATTAATTTCGCCTAATTATATTTATGAATGTAATGTTTGGCATTTCTTCTGTTTTTATAACTTGATATTTAAATTTCTTATAATTTGATTAATGCAGAAGAAGCTCTCACTGTACTTAATTACCAGAATCGTAATATTGTAATTATTACGTTAAAATTATAAAAAAGTTGGAATAAAAAAAAGTATGTAAGCGAACTATTTGAATAATTTATGTTAGAATTCAAGATAAAATTTAATTTATAATTTTAAGTATTATTAAGTATTATTAATAACAGTCGGAAAACGCATTATCAGTGTTATTGTAACATTTTATTTGTTTATTAAGTCTATTCTACAATTGTATAAACGTATTAATGATTGTTGAGATATATATAAAACTTGATCAAGCATAATATTCTTTTTATATTCAATTGTTATTGATTAATTCTTATAATTACAACCACTTACAACTTACACAACTGTAGGACTTGTAATGGATTTTAGTCGTAAAACAAGGAAAAAATGTTGATAGCGCTGATAGTGCATTTTCCGAACACAGCCTATGTAATACAAAAAGTATTTAAATATAAACTCCACTTTTATATATATATATAAACATGTAAACTGGATTACTCGCATATATTAAAGTTAAGTATTGTCTCAATGCCAATTGATTTCCTAGCTGCGATTATTTCGTAAGTAGTTGTTACATTTTTTCGCATTTGTATATATCACAAGATGAATAGTGTAATAGTGACAGTTTAATTTGATATGATTGTATGCATTTATAAATATTCAAGTATTTAAAAAAATATAATAAGAAATAAGAAGTAAAAAGCGCGCATGAAATGCACAGAACTATAATTCTCTAGTAAGATAAATTTATAAAGAATTATAACTGCAGATCTTGATATCTGACGCGCGAAATACTGATCATATAAAAATGGGTATAAATAAACAATAAAATATTCGATATTTATATACAATATAAATTTATATATATTTATATTTAT